ATCGGCCCTTTCATCCACAAATTCTGTTAGATCTGTTGATCACCTGCTGGTAGGAGATTCGCTATTAACTCGTTTGAATGCCATGTAGGCCTTGGAATTTGATGAACCGAAGCCCCTCGCTAGACCTGTTTCGATTGAAGAAAAGGAAGCCATTAACCTACTCGAAGCAAATTGTCAACTGATAGGAGGCCACTTCGAGATGCCTTTGCCTTGGCGAAAGGGCTCCCCATACCTGCCAAATAATGAACCAATCGTTCTCAGACGCCTACACGCACACACACACACACACACACACACACACACACACACACACTAAGGAGACGACTATGGAAGAACCCAGAGCTCAATGAACAATACGCAGACGTAATGTCAAGTTAAATCACCAAAGGGTATGCGGATTTAGTGAGGAACCCAGACCTAGCGAGACCGGGAAAAGTATGGTATCTACCCCACCATCCCGTACTGAATTCAATGAAGTCAGGGAAACTGAGAATAGTGCCGTCATTGGTCAGTACCAACAATGTTCGCTCTCTCTCTTCGCAAAGATCTCGGATTTGATTTCCTCACTGAACACACGCATACATTCCAACACGTGTCGTATGCATACAAGAAACCTGTTTTAAATCAAAGCGTTGAGGATGCTCTCGTGCAGATCGTTTCGACTGTTACCGGCAGGATAGACAATATAGCAGGAAGAAAACTGGAGACGGTGTGGCAACGTAAATCAACACTTCTTAGTGTGGCAAGTCTGAAGTGATTTTCAGCTATTCTGAAAAATTCATTGACTGTTTATCCGTCCGTTTCCATCCCAGATTTTTCCGATATAAAAGTACAATTATTACTAATGTGTATATACCTCCTCCGTGCTCCCAATCAGATATATCTTCATTTGGCTGTTGGTGACTTCAACCATGCAAGCACTTTCCCTCTGCTTTCTTTTGGCTTGTCTGATTTGTCTCATTCTCCTACCAGAGGCAGCTCTATACTTGACCGGGTAATCACAAACTATCCCACTTTGTTTTCACTCAAACTAATGGCCCCAGTCGCTACCAGTGATCATTGTGTTCTCCTCTTAAGACCAAAGATATACTTCCGCTCTGCATATCCAACATTCATACAATTCCAAAATCCTGCATACGAAAAAC